ATCCTGCGTTTGTGCCAATAAGTTTGCGAATTGGGTCTCGATATCTAGCTGACGTTCATTACTTATAAGATAACAGAATTTGGAACCGAGTGACAATACTTCAAGCAGTTTAGGTGAAAGGACCAACTTGGAATAATTATGGACATACTTTTCTGGATGGGTTGGGAAGGTAGCCTGTGGTTTCATAGGGCTTAGTGAACATGCCAATGAATCACGTTTTTTCTGCATTCTTCTGTCTGTGATCTGATGAATGTAATCCAAAAACAGCTGCTTCTCCACTTGGATTAGCGCATCAACACTGGATTGTCCCTAGGCAATGTTTCGTTGAAGTTCAGGTATTTTACAACAAATAGTATCGCGCTGGTTTAACGCGTGACGACGGAGGGTTTTAGAATTCGCACAAATACGGTTTCGGCGAAGATATTTCCAAAATGCGGTTAGGTATTCACGAACGTAAATGTTACCTTTAGCAATCGGTGTGGAAAATTTCAGGAACTGTTTAAGATCGTTGACCACGTGAGGCGGCTTAGTAGTTTCAAAATGCAGTACATTCTCTGTGATACATCAAGAACACCAGTCTGAGGCAAACAATTGTTTTCAATGATTTATCTACGGGCCGGTACAAATCATATAAGGTTAAAATACGAAGGTGAATGCACGGTGATTGGTTCAGATGTAGGTCAATGGTTAGACAGCAGATAGTTGGTCGCTGTCTTGCAGAGGCACACACACAGATCGATAGGTATTACGTAATCAAACCGACGACGCCGGTGTCAGAATGACGGTCAGGTTGAGTGTTGTTTCATTGTCTCATTATTGCAGTTTTGTGACGTCAAAAGGAAAAATGGTTGAGAAGGGATTTCCCAATATTCAAAAAATTATCCGAATCATGGTTGGCTGAGTGAACGAGCTATTCTTGCGGCCAAGAACAAGGACTTCGATGAACCTAGCATTCCAAACGAGGCAGTCGCATAGAAGTCCGTCGACAGTGTTGGAAGATGAAGCGGTTACTTAGTCAACCTAATTTTTGAATTCACTCGAGCTGCCAGGGATACCACCGCACGTACTTGAATTAAAAAATGAGCACACCAATTATCATACTGCGAAATATCAAGCAGCCAAAGCTTTGTAACATCACGCGGCTCGCAGTAAAAGGATTATTCAGCAACGTCATCCAGGCAGCAATCTTGCCCGGACCTTTCAAAGGTGAAGATGTCCTCATTCCTCGCATTCTGATGATTCTTACTGATACGCCATTTCAAGTTAAGAGACTGCAATTCCCTATTCGTTTGCAGTCATAAGAAACAAAGTTCAGGGACAGTGTTTTGAAGTGTGCGGGTTAGACCTACGCATCGACTGCTTCTCACATGGACACTTACATGTTGCGTTGTCTAGAGTCGGCAAATCATAATCTTCATAAGTGCACCGACAACATTACAACACAAGACGTTGTACATCAACACATGTGTTGGGAAACAAAATCTAGTACCCAGGTGAGATTTTTCTTCTATAACATTTTCATTTAACCAAACAACGGAACAACACACAACATTGCATACCCACACGTGTCCTGAAACTAAATCTATTACAAAGGTGAGATTTTTCTTTGCTAACATTTTCATTCAACTGGACAACGAAACAGGGTACAACATTGCATACCCACAAGTATCGTGAAATGACATCTATTAAAAGGTGAGATATTTCATTGCTTTCCTACTGATTTGACCACACTGAGCCACAACAACGCATTTGCAATAACAATGTTCAGGGCAAGTCATTAGAAGTGTGAGAATGCAATCTAAGCACGGAATGCCACTCACACGGACAGTTATAAGTTGTGTGCTCTAGAGTATGAAAAAGTGAGAATTTCATCTTCTTTCATCCTAATTTAACCACACAGCCACACTGACCCCATAGCAATTTAAGGGATTGCAGTTCCATATTCGTTTGGCATTTGCAATCCCAATCAACAAAGGCGTAGCAGTCCGGAGATTCTCCGGTTCGCCAGCGTAAAATTTTAATCAAAATCACTAATCATTGTACACTTGGGCGATCGGTGCGGAATGTTGAGATGGCTGCTGAGTTCGATTTTTAGAGCTGAGCATCCCCAACTTTTGATTGGCACTCGTTTCGGTTGCGACGCGCGACTGCATTGTGTGCTGTGCTTTCAGCGTCCCCCTAGCTAGAGCGTCAACGGAGCCGTATTTTATAGCTAGGCAACAGAGAACCTTTTGCTGTACCCATAAAAGTTTCCCTGCAACCCGACCTGTCTTTCAAAATCATTATCCGGGCTCCCGCTAAATTGGTGGCCCCGACTCCGGAAGAACTTCAACGCCAGTACTACGAATTTTTCTCCGATTAGTTCGTTCCATTGATTTTTTTATATGTTCCGGTTTATTTTTGCATACGTTCGCATATATTTTCTTATCCATTTTTAGACCATAGATTCTGAAGACCATAAGGTAGAATCTCCCGGCAGCGTTGTATCTCTTTCTGTCCCACCTTTATGGGACATGGATCCTCTTCTGTGGTTTGCTCATTTAGAGGCAGAATTTTATAACCACAGAATTACTACAGACCATGCTAATACCGCAGGCTCAGGTCCTATCTCCCAAAGGAAATATCAATGCAGGTTCGAGATGTCATTATTTCTCAGACTGAAAACCGCTAAGAGGCTCTCAAGGATGCTACGATTAAGCGTGTTATGCCCTCTGAGAAAGTTCGCCTGCAGCAGCTTTCCAGGGATCTACAGTTGGGTGACAAACTGCCCTCAACTCTGTTTCGAGAGGTATAGATAGAGGCATGGATTTTCTCCTAAATTTCGACCTTACTATCGACGCTAAAAGGAAGAAGCTTATCAATTCTCGGACACAGCTCAGAGTTCTCGGGACTAGCGCCAAGGTGGCCGCTATCACTCCCATTCGTGTCTTACCTCAAGCTTCACAACCATTGATAGTTTTGCAATAAGCATCCAAATTTCGTTCGCATTCCGAACGACTTGCCTACCATGACGTCAAAGGTCATGCACCACATAGCGATTAAGAGTTCACCTGTTTGGCCCGCCGTCGCAGACTAGCCCCGGACAAGCTAAAAGGGGAATTCGAGAAAATGCTCGAACAGAGAATAATCCACCCGTCCATAGGCATCATCATTACAAATGGTACTCAAGAAATCCAGTGACTGGCGCCCCTGTGGTGATTACAGGACACTTAACGAAATCACCCTCCCGGATAAATACCCCATTCCTCACATGCACGACTTAACCTCAGCTTTAGCTGGTAAGTCTATCTTTAGCAAAGTCGACCCAGTGCGCGCCTACCATCAGATAGCAGTGGCGCCAGACGATATTCCTGAAACAGCAGTCATTACGCCGTTCAGCTTTTTCGAATACCTTAGAATGACTTTCGGCCTCAGTAACGCTGCTCAAACGTTTCAGCGTTTCATTGATAAGGTAACGCGAGGACTCGAAGGCGTTTATCCTTATCTAGATGACATTCTCATCGCCAGCTTTTCTGACGAGGAACATCACCTCGACGCTCTCTTTCAACGCTTGACGCAACATGGGGTTACCCTCAATCCCGATAAACGTGAACTTGGACAAAGCTCCAGACTCTCTAGGCCCCAAAATATCCGCCTGGCATCGAAGCCCTGCCAGAAACAAGAACGGACGCTCAATGGCACCACCTTCCACATGATAGCTGAACATAGACCGGTATGCTTGTTAGGATATATGTACTTGTACGAAACTTTGCCCAACACATAATTCTGTTTATCTCCATCCCGTCAACCCAAAAAGGCTGAGTGGCGTAACGGTGACAAACACAAGCAACTTATTCAGGTAAGTCGGTGTTTGCGAGTATGCCTCGGTAAATAAGACTCAGATGAACGTGATAACCGACAGAACATGGTAGGCTTATGGGTGGATTTTTATTTCGGTTTCCATTGGCCGCACGGATAACCAGTTGCTAGTGAGCAATCTGAGTCGACAACCTCCTAGGTCAGAAGACAAGGGGGCTCTGAAAAAACCTCTAATGAGCATCTGGTAAAAAGTATGTATAACCAGAAATGGGGTCAAAATAAATATCTCATGAGAGCGCCATGGGTGAAAGTTCCTGGATACCTGAAAATGTGCTTGTTGGTTGCCCAAAGAGTGCGCTCACTCGCGGACTTCAAAACAGATCATTCTCATTGGCGGACTTCAAGATGAAACGCCCTCACTGATCAGCCAATTAACTTCAGATTGCGCCGGATCAAACTTCACCGAGCTGCGGGTGAAAGGACCGGCTCTGAAAGCTTCTAAGAGCAGGCTCCATTAACGGTTTTGGGGTACTCATCTTGCGTTTGGATTAAGATGAGTAATTGTAATTGGTGCCCCGATTTTAATCGAAGCAAAGCTCGTTTCACCCGACCCTTGAAGCTGCATCCGAGTTGAAGGATTATCGGTGACTGAGAGACTAAATGCAACACGGGGACTTAAACCTATGGGGCCCACGTTTGAATCCCTGCTCTCGCCTAGGTTTTGGCATCATAGAAGAATACAACGTCGCAGAAAATCGCTTGCAGTTGCATACCAACGGAGCACTAGCATAAAGGGTACACCAATGACACCCCTAACTAGGTTGTGGAGCGTTTCACGAGCTGTTCATCGCATTTTTCGTGTGCATTCAGAAAGTGCAAGCTCAAAAGAACTAGGAAGATAAACCGTAGAGTGGAACAAGTAGAACAATGGTTGTGTGTGTGCGTGAGGAACAAAGTTGAGTTATTGGCTTGATAACAAATCGCTCTGGAGTAATGAATGCGACGAAGAGAAGATTGGTGAAGTTTCAAAATACACAGTGAATAGATAAATAAAATCTTTATTCACGAAAGTGATGCAAAATGGTTTCAAAAGCGGCGCAGTGGGCGGTGATAGGGATGAATGCGAATACCAATGGAGAGAGCAATACAGAGCACACCGCAAAAAGTTAAAACAAAGGGTATGCGGAAAAAATAGAAAAAATTCAATGCTTCAGTTTGATAAAACGGCTTTCAACATCGAGGATGCTGACTTCGCAGCTGCCTTCCACGTCATAATCGCACCAGTTCTAAAAGGCCAGTAAGAAAAAGAACCCAACGGTTAGGATGACAATACAAAAGGAGGGACAAAGTGAAGGAGACACAGTGGAGCGCCATGTGATCCCCAAAATGCGGATGGACATTTAAATTGGCACATTTCGTCGCTGTGGGCCAGAGAAGCGTACACGTGGTTAAGATTTAAGTGTGATTCATTGGCCAATTACGAAGGCTGATTTGTTGATGCTTTCGTAGCGTCACCAAACCGCCCCATATCAGTGGCTGTATGAAACGTGATGAACGGGATTGAGGACGCTGATGGTCTCGTCCACTCAGCTCTTGAAGTTCGACCCGTTTGGAGCACTAACGTTTTCTCACAATCAATGTGGACCTGCAGTTGACAATTGCCTCATAGCACAATCCAAGTTGACAGAGGGCCGTACATGGTGCATTCCACTTAACCATAGCCAGCGCAGTGTAAGTGGTGGCCTTGTTCCATTTCACTGCATGAGAGTACAGGAACCTCTCGGCGTGAAAAGGGCTAAGTCATATATGCATACCGTATTGATAGAACCTGGAAGATCTCAGTTCGGGCTGAGGTAGTCCTTTTTTTGAAAGTCGCGTTTTTACTGCTAAGAACCTTGCCTCCCGGAAGGCATTCCTCAGCATCTACCTACCGTCGCTCATAACAGATACGCTTCCATAAAAACCTTCTAGACTCAAAATACCACTAATGATCCACTCGCAACGACGCTCGATTACAATGCGACAGTTAATCACGGTGGCAAAGTAAAGGACCCCTTACAATATGGTAGCCCAGAGGCAGTCATCGTTGGCAGCAACCGGTTCCGCATTTGCTTGTCACAATGACCTCCATAGCACAGCCGTAAGACGCCTGCGCCTACAAAGGGACCACGGGTGGCTTGCGCTGCATCATCATCATCATCATCATAACAAGTTGGCTCAAGGTGTAAAGCACCTCAGCTACTGTGCCGCAATACATAAAAGAAAATAAATACAACAGTTACACGCCAGCTGAGCTATCAGCAACGAATGGGCATCGTTCCGGAAAGCCACCAGCCGGCTACTAGATAACAAGAAAAATTATTATGTAAAATTATATTACGCTAGGAAATGAAATCGTGGTTGGAGAGGGAGGCTAAAAGGGATGGGAAGGGAAAAAGAAACACACAGCAGAAACGCCACTGAGGTCGGCTCCTTGCCATGTCAGCAAGTGTATCCAGCCAAATGTATTAATCGACCTTCGGACCCCAACCAGAGAGCCGTGACGCTCCAACCGAGGCCAGCTCAGAAGTGAGGGCCTTCATTCCTCTCGACCAAGTCATCGCTTGGCCACCCCTCCTCTTCTTCCATCCACACCCCCGGCGCGCAAACAACGCACGTCGCGGGAGTCGGTGGGCTGGCATGTGCAACACGTGGCTTAGCCATCGGAGCCTGGCGCGTAAAATAACGCTGCTGAGCGGTTTATTTCTTTTTCCTGTGCCAGAAACAAGGCGTCGAACACGCTCGTTGCTTACGCGGTGTTCCCACCAGATGTGAGCCAAACTACGAAGGCACCGATGGTCGAACGTAACTAGCCTCTTTATGTCCGCTGATCTAAGGGGCCAGGTTTCGCAACCGTACAGTAAGGTCGAACGTACCGCTGCACTGTACACTCTACCCTTCAGGGAGAGAGTAATGTCGCGCCGCCGCCATAGGTGGCGAAGACTAGCAAAAGCATTCTGAGCTTTTGACATACGGTTCGTGATCTCATTTTCAACCACAAGGGCGCTGATACAACTTCTTTCTGAACGACATCTAGTAGATCACCATCAAGGGTCAGCACAGGAGGCGATCCCTGCCAATCTTGGAGGAAAGCTTTGTACTACGATGGTGCAAAGCAAAGACCGAAGCGGCTGACAGCCAGTGCTAATCTGTCCAGTGCAGCTTGGCACGTCTGGGAGCTGTCACAGTTGAGGGCAATGTCGTCTGCATACTCCAAGTCAAGAAGCCGTTCTCCTGAGATTATCTCCACACCTTCTAAGTTTTGTCCTGTAAATGCAATCTCCATGACTGTCAATAGCGAAGTTGAAGAGGAAAGGTGACAACGGGCATCTTTGTCTCACACTGCTGGAGATATTGAAGGGCGGCGACAGCTTGCCGTAAGCCCTCACTCTGCCCGTGCTACGCGCGTATAATGATCGGATAATATTTACATATTTCTCGGGCACACCTTTCCTGAGTAGGCAATTCCAAAGGGCACATTGATCAACCGAACCGAAGGCACCGTTGATGTCGAGGAACACGACTACGGTGGGTCGCCAATATGTGTGACGGTGCTTCAACCACTGAAGCAAGGTGAAGATGTGGTCGATGTAGCCACGACCCCGACGAAATCCGGCTTGTTCTTCATGTATTTGGCTTTCACGAGCGCGAGTCAGTCTGTGAAGGATGACAGAGGCGTTGGGGATTAGACTGGTTCCTCTATGGTTGCCGCATTCCGAACGCGAGCCTCCTTTGAAGATGGGAACAATAACGGAGCCACTCCAGTCGGTTGGGACAGTTTCCTGCTCCCGCAGTTTCACTAGTAATTCATGTAAATCATCAACAAGAGCAGAGCCTCCGAATTTGAAGAGGGCTAGATGAAGATCATCTGGTCGCGCGGTTTTGTTCAACTTCAACAGTCCGATCTCACGTTTGACTTCTGAGCGAGAGGGCGGATCCGATGGGACAGCCCATGGAGGAAAGCGATCACTGGCCGGAGAGGAATCTAACAATTCCGACCGAGAAATTGCCTTTCAAATTTCTCAGCCCAACGCTTCAAAGGTTTTGACAAATTGTGGATAGGCTGTCCATTCTTGTCACAAACTGTCTCATTAACACCAGGTTTCCTGCTGCCCATTCCCCGTTTCAGCCGGAATAACTTACCATGGTTATCAAGGGCAACGGCCACTTCCATCTCTGAAGCACGATGAGACCACCAGGATTCGCGGTCTCTCTTCAGGCTAGCACGGAGTTTTGCATGAAGCTCGTTGTGAGTTTCATTGTGTTCGCCTCCAGCCGGAATATGCCGGCAAGCAGCTATAACTTCCACAGACTGTGAAGAGACCCAATGTCCATGTTGGCGATTAGACATACCACATGAGGATTTGCCTGCTGCTAATAAGGTCTGGTGAATATGAGACCAGTGAACTTCAATCGCCTCCAGTGAGCGTTTATCCAACTCGCATGACAGCGTACTTTGATAGGCATTCAGAACAGCTGGCTTCACCAGTTGGCTGGTGTCAATGCGCTCACAACGTCGTCGTGGGCGTCCGCCAAAACGCATCCGCAGGTCAGCACATACAAGTGCATGGTCGGTGTCCACACCTGTGCTCCAAATCGAGCGACAGTTCTGGACGCAGCCTCTCCATCGGTAACTTATCGCAATGTGATCGATTTGCGTCCAAGGCTGGTTCGAGGCTGCTGGGCGCCAAGTCACCCTCCGGCGAGTGTTGTGTCGGAAATTAGTGCTCGCAAGAAATAAGCGAGCATCCTCACACAAATGAAGTAACCGCTCACCATTATCATTACGCGAGCCTATACCACGCTAGCCGCCCAGATACAGCTCATCTGTGGACAATTTTCCAACTTGAGCGTTCAGATCCCCAGCCAGCCCTACAGTGTCCGAGCTTCTTCTGTGGCTAAGGAGCTCGTTCAGTTGACGATAGAAGTCGTCTTTTACCGAGTCATCACTTCAGTTTGTGGGCCCTCAGGCAGCGATGATGAATAGACATCTATTAGTTCCGCGCGACATCGAAGCTTTGAACGAACCAGCCAATCGGACTGCACACATCCGGCTATTGATTGGAATCCAATCAACCAGAGTAGCTTCAGCCCGGGGACTCAGGGCAATACCAACACCGGCTTGGCCGGTGCTCGAAGCTGCATCATCACCGGATAGGCGCAATGAGAAAATACTGCTGGCGTCACATGAAAGGGATCGGAGAGTGAGCACAGAGCTCGAATTGCGCAGGCGGGTCTCTGATAAGCAGCAGATATCGATCGAGAAGGTCTCTAATGTTCGGAAATGTACTGCCCGTTGACCGATCTGTAGCAATGTGCGTAGATTGCAGCATGCCAATCTGAAGGAGGATTGAGGGCTCCAAATGGAAGCCGATGAACTGGAGTGGACCGCTTGGTCAGACATGGGCTTGTCGACAGGACAGGATGACGCTCCGCGTTAGCATGTGAGCTGAAAGTAGAAGATAAACGCCTAGCAAAGGACGTTGGGGGAGGTCCAAGAATCGATGGCTTGAAAATTGGGGAGGAGGGGGTAAAATTGAAAATGGAACGGGACCATAAGGGAGAAAAAGCGTAAGAGGGAGAATAAGAAGACAGGAAGACCTGAACAGTAGCGTCCAAACCTCTATCCACCCTGCTCGATGCAGCAGATAGGGTACCGTTGATTATCCTCTGCGGTGGCCAGAGCACCAGGAATTTGTTTGAAGGGAGATTCGTTGTATTGCGTGGGCAGGATATTGTCAGGTTGCTCAGGCCTAGACAAGAGAACGATTAGGGTTCTCAATTAAAGCCTTTGGTTCGAAAATCTGACTGTAAGGCAGCGCGTTTGGCGTTGGGCTACAAGGAGTCCATTTTAAGGAATAAGGTGCCACCCTCATTTCAACCGCCAACCTGGAGGCTGAGTTTGTCTGGCCTCTAACCATTGACCAATCTGGTATGAGTGGCTCTGAAGGTGCAAAAGCACCACCCAGCATAGATCAATGGGTCTCTGAAGCTCGCAAACCATAGCATCACGGTAAGGTCCAGCCTAATTGCAATGGAATCCGCCTCCCGGTACAAGCGAAATGTTTGGCAAGCTATTTCTTCGGCTCCCGACGACTACGACCGCGTGATGCAGAACCCAGAGCAAATGTGGTTCACATAGGAGCGCAATTGGCTAGGTTCCAACAGCCGTTTGTGAAATGTGTTCGCAAGATGACGAGTTGGGAACGTGCAGTTGCGAGGTTACCTGGGTGATATGTGACAGGTGCTCTAGGCCCACACTCTTTCACATGCGAACACAAGGACGCTGTATTTGGGGAATCAAGCGCACACACTGAGTGCATGGAACCGCATGAAACACAGCTACATACATATACACAATTACATACGTATATACACCTCTACACGAACATACGCTGTTAAAGCAAACATATCGGATCTTTGCACATTCGTGGGCACGCAGTTATGTTAACATGATCATGCCTGTAAAGGCGTGCCTCGCCTTGTGGAAAATAAAAAATTTATTTATTTAATTTATATTTATAATAGTTGATGATCCAGCGTTGAATACACGCGTCGACCACATCATGCGGTGCTGGTAATGGCGGCATCCACTTCCGGATTCGCTTGCCATTGCGAATGGGAACAACCATAGGACGCCTACGGGTACAGGGAGATCACGGCTGACATGTGTTGTAACAAATACAGCTCCACCTACACACTCAAAGAAATTCGGAGGAAACTCGAAGAAATAAGTCCGGAGGATATGTGCAGATGCGCGCCACACCATTGAAGCAAAAGTGGGAGAAGCGGGTGTGTCCAATGCATATAAGGCGGTGGCTGGACAGTAGCACGTCCCATGATTGAAGCACATTTTTGCACTAGGACTGTCACCAACCATGTGTATCCCGCAGTGGTTAGCAGGTCCGGTGGTCAGTAATTTGCATATTGACATCAGACAGATAGATAACTCATCAGCGGTCGCAGCGAGCGTGATCACACCTGACATTTCAATCGAGGATGGAAGTCCGCCGAGCAAATATCGGCAATTCAAGCATAACCAGACTGCAGCAAGAGGGCATAACAGATGATTCGTCGAACCAAGTAGCGGCAGAAATGCGTGACCTGTCTCAAACCGAAAAGCTGATGTTGTGCCGTATCCAAAAGTGTATGCCGTATGTAGTCTTCAGGAGGTTATTCTCCGACATCGCATGCGTTGGCTCGAGCATGTTTTGCGCATGCCAGCCCATCGCCTTCCACGTCGAGCGCTATTTGCACTCCCAGAGAGCGATGGGAAAAGTGCCCCGGTGGGCAGCCAATGACGTGGAAAAGGAGCATGAAGAAGGCAACTTCAATTCTGGCAGCAGTCGGACCAGTCCGTCTCCCAGGTTGGGGATCACGAGATGCTGAATCTCAGTGGTTGGAAACATTGGATGTCATGGCCCGCAACAGACATCAGTGGCGTCAATGTTGTTCTGCCACTTTATCCCCCCTTTAATAAATACAAACACACAAAACAAAAAATTCAAAATGGCGTATGTAAAACCAAAAAAATCGCTTCCCATTTTTTAAATCGCAGTTCGTGTTTCTAGCTTCTCCACTTTTTTCTGCCATGGTTCTGACGGCAGTGAACGTACGCAGCACCGGCGCAGCGTTTGTAGGCACGCTGAATTCGATTTACTAACCGCATGCTTGCATGCTAAGTCTCTTTATTTCAGGTGGTGGGTTTTCGGTTCTGTCCTAATGCCTTTCTCATATAAATGTCTAGTGGGCCATGAGCTATGCCATTAGGGGCCACTACAGAAGCGACGACGGGTCCTGCAGAGAATTACGGCGAGCCGGCGCAGCGTTTGTAGGCACACTGAATTCGATTTACTAACCGCGTGCTTGCATGCTAAGTCTTTTATTTCAGGTGGTGGGTTTTCAATTTTGTCCCAATACATTTCTTTCTCATATAAATATCTCCCTGTACTCTAGTTCATTAACTTGCACACATCGCCTAAGCCAATTGTATTCGATTTCCATAACATTTTTGTGTTCGTGGCATTCCGTGAACTATACTTCCTGACCTCGTGCACTTAGCTAGGAATTGTTTGTAAACAACTTATTACGTATGCTATTTAATTAAGGTTTATGTCACCGTTTCCTAATGCATTAATCGAGTTTTTCACTTTTTCTTTCTCTCTCTCTCTCAAGTGTTTGGCTGTTGTTTGATATCCCCGGTGTGGATGCGCTTGATGTGCATGTTGATAAGGTGCCTACCTGTCTATTACCCACTACCTCGTCCATACTGGCTCCAGGAGACAGTTGGTCGTTGCTGGAGGGGACGGGGTGCACGGTCCTTGTGGCCGTGTTAAGCTCGAAGAGTGGTTCCATGCAGTCAGTGTGGAGCGGACCACGGTCCAGCCACCGCCTTGTGTGCACTTAATTCCCCAATTACAGCGTGCTTGTGTTTGCCTGTGAAGGAGTGTGGGCCGGCTCCGTTGATAAAACGTGGTCCCCATCCGCATGCCTCCCGGTCTTATTGCTTCGGGTTTACACTGGATATGGGGTGTGTGGTTGGTGCAGCGCAAGCCATCCATGGTCCATCTGTAGGCGCAGGCGTCCTGTGGCTTGCCACAGTGACAGGCAAATCCGAAACCGGATGCCGCGAACCATATATATATATATATATATATATATATATATATATATATATATATATATATATATATATATATATATATATATATATATATATATATATATATATATATATATATATATATATATATATATATATAGTCCGAAAAGTCACAACTGACCAAGCCCAACGACCTATCCTCAGCATCGATTGATGAGGAGAAAAGCAAATAGAGAACTTCATTTATATATGGGCCTGAACCTGTCGGAACGCATGAAGCGCACTCCGATTCCAACAGCCGCGTCTTTCGCATGACTTTCGGAGCAGCACTATAAGACACTATTGCGAAACAAGAAAAAAGCGTGCATAAACACAGACTAACCATGTTTGCCAACGAAATGTTCGCAAATTTTGTCTCACTCTTTGAGCTGTCAGCTGACCAGCCGATGCGAGGGGAAAAGGAGAGTAGGTCTACTCCACGGCATTCGAATGTGACGATCGTTTTAAACTCGCCAGAATCCTCAGCGTTGTACGGTGTAACACTGTCCGGAACAATATCTGCAGAGAAGACAAGTGAAAACTACAGACTTGCCCGTAAACACGAGTGAAAATTATCAAAAGATAGGATGTACTGAACTCGTGCCATCGATAAAGCAAGCCCGAAATGTTAGAGGGCAATCACACAACCCTTTCAAATAAGAGTACTCTTGATACAAAAGACAAGAAAGCATCAGTTCGGATTAGTTAAACAACTATGATCCGGGTACCGAAGTGCGGTGGATCTAGTTGCCACAACTGGCATCACCAAAACAGCAACGAATGGTAGTAGTGAAAATTGAAGTTAAATGCAAACAGAATACAAAGTAAATAGTTAACAAGGTACCTAGAAGTAATCGGGATGAAATGTAAAGTAACGGTGAAAGGTACGAAACCGAATGCAGTAATGTCACTGACTGTACGACAGCGCCATGTCTGATAAAGTTTTCAACCACTGAAGTGGACAGTCACGATTCTGACATTCGCGAACGCAACATGCACCAGTCTAACCAAGTGTTGTAGTCAACTCCTTCATATCCTTATTGTGATGGTAAGTGATCAGCGGTCGCTGGAGATGATCACCGTCAAGACCACAAAGCGACCACGTTTACCCGGATCGAGCGAACAAAGCGGAATCGGGGTTCAAGTGGTGAGTCAGCACGGTCTTATGTCATGTGAGGCCCCATGTGGGATACGCGATCCAGGCCTGACGACCTAGGCGCAAACACGAGGCTACTGCGCTCGAGGCTGCACAACGTAGGGCAATGAAAATCGTTAGAGGACTGTTTCACCTTCCCTACCAACGCAGACTACAAGCCCTAGGCTTATACAGCGGCGAAGAAAAGCGCCTGCGAGTAGGCCTTATTATGGTATACCAACTACTTACTAATTCCAATCACGCCTGTCGCAACCTGTTGCAAGTTAGCCACAGTACTAACCTGAGGGGCCACCAGCTCAAACTGACCATACACCATAGTTGAGTTGATTACCGGGCAAATATTTTCTCCCTTCGGGTATCCAGAACCTGGAACGCTCTCTCTTCTCACGTTATTTTCACCTCCAGATTGACGCTGTTTAAGAAACGGTAGGATCACACTCTATTCCATTTGCATTACGTGATGTAGTTCGCTTCCAACAGAAGTCGAATTAACAAACAGTTTGCTCACCAGCTTTCTCCGTTACTTAAAGTGAGCGGGTTAGCAGGTACTCGTGCGAGTAACCTCGTGTGAGTAACCTTAAACTAAAATTTCTCTTTTTCTTGTCACTAACACAATCATTTTATAAGCAGCGCTCCAATCATCCTGCAGTACATGTCAAGTAATGCTTTGTTGCCCGTTAGAAATCACCATACATTGTCATCGACTAGCCAATTCGCGGTTGCGTCCAACTTGGTGTAGTCACAACGCATAATGCACACTGAAGAAGTCGGTCGACGGATATACCGAGGACATGGAGTAGTCGACGTAAGCGATTAAGATTTAGTAAACACTCGACGGGTACCAGAAGGCTTCTTGACAAATACCAACTAGAAGACCACAGCATTACTCACTCGGCGTTCGCACCAGACATGAGCAATACTCTGCAAGCACAGGTGATCAAACACGGTAAAACGTTTACAGTTTTCGCTGCGAACTGACTGGGTCTTTGATCCATGCAGTAACATAGGCCTTACCACAGCGTTGTACACCTTACCTTTGGGTGACAAGCTGATAGCCCGCCATCTCCATAGATGGTTGTAACGTTGGAAAGACACACAAGGCTTACTGATACGCGAAGTAAGCTTTTCAGTGGTGCGACCATCAGAGGTGACACAGCTACCAAGGGAAGTGAATCGATCCACAACTTCCAGTGGCTGTTCGGTTATAGCTGGAACCGGTGGCGAGTCGGTCTAATACTGTAACAACACTTTGCACTTTGAAAGTGCAATACGAATGACGAAGCACGCAACGCTATGCGTCAGCCTGTGCAATAGTGCGTGCATAGCCACTGCGACAGACACAAGGAGGGACGTCCTTCGCACATTCAATGTTTGGCAGTTGGTCACTTGACATATATTCCACTCCGATTCATTCATGATCATTTTGATAACAAAGTTGAAGAGGAAAGCAGATGTAGGACAATCTTGGCGAACCCTATTAGTCAGGAAACCGCTTCCTGTAAATCCTTACTCAGCCTCTGGAGTCTCGGTAGAGAGACTTCGGAATGGTGCGTTTGCACCCACTTGCTCAGCCGAGGCTTGACTTGAGGCAGGCGGTAGCAAATCACTGAGCACTTTCCCAAAGTCAGAGACAACCGGTGGCACATGTGCCGTACGTCCATGGAGCTGCGAACACTTCACCTATTGCCTCATCGATAAGCTTCAGAGGATAAGGGGCATCAACCCCTCTCCAACCTCCGAAGAGCACGTTAAAACTGAGTTGATCTAATCCTTAACTGTTACCGGGGCCCGTCCATAGCAGCCATCGAAGCTAGCTCTCTCTCTCTCTAACTGTCTGGAGCAACCCGGAGAAGATTAGTGGTATGCCGCCTGTAGCCGACTGGCTAACCAGTGGTATCGTTTTACTCTGAAGTGGACCAATCAGAATGACCTTCTTTGAATCCCTCCAATAAGCACACTATTTGATCATCCAACAAGCGAGTTTTTGCGCATCTAGTAGTTGCTATCGTCAGGAACTTTCAATTAGGTCTTTCTCTCATGAACTATTTATTTTGACCCCAGATTATGCCTGTACATGCTGTCTCCCGAGTGCTCCATACAAGTTCTGCCAGATGCCTTTGTCTTCTGATTTTGAAGGTGGCTGTATCGTGACCAGAGTGGCTGCATTGGTTATCGGTACTATCAGCGGAAACACAACACTAACTATTGACTTGCCCCGTATGAATGAGTCCAGGGATACTTGATAAGTGTCACCCAACGTAGCTCACTGGGTCAGGGAAGAACGCAAATCCTAGCTTCCTTCTTCATTAAACCTCAGGTTCTAATTCGACTACTATGTCTTCTCTCTTGACCTTCGAAAGAGCCTCGAGACACAGCTATTAGCATCAGCCTCATAGTCTCCCACGATTTTCGTAAAAGGCTGACTCTTTCCCACTTCATTAGCCCTCAGTTCTAATTGGACTACTACGACCTCACTTGACCTACCAAACAGCCTCTCCACACACCTATTAGCAACAGCTTCGTAGACTCCTACGATTTTGGTTCACGGCTGACTCTTTCCCTCTTCAGTACTCCTCTGGTTCTAATTGGACCACTATGACTTCTAGCTAGACCTTCAAAAGAGCCTCTCCACACACCTATTAGCATCAGCCTCGTAGGCTCCTACGATTTTGGTCCACGGCGGACTCATTTCCACTTTATTAACCCTCTGTTCTAATTGGACTACTATGACCTCTCTTGACCTTCCAAACAGCCTCTCCACACACCAATTAACATCAGTCACGTGGCCGTCCCCTATTTTTTCATTTCGAACCCATTCTGGTCAAACACCACAAAAACATATTGCATGTAACAATCTGTGTTAACGGCTTACAAGCAAAGGCAGTTTTACACAAATGATTTAGTACCATCGGCACCATCACTTGAGCATACTTCAATTGCGTAGCTACGCTATTTTAAATAAATAAATTTATATTCTTGGTGTTGCACGATGCACGCCAACGTCTTCCTTTACTTCCTCATCTTTCCCGAAATCTATGAAGTTCGAATGAACTCGCCGAATTGTTGTCCGCTACCAGGAAGGTCCAAGGATGGCCCTTGGGGAAAGAGCAGAGTTCTCACTTTTCCAAAGCGTACAGAAGATTCACTTAATGCACGATGAAAGAATGATCTATGAAATTCAACTTACATTACAATCCCGGAATCATTTTACCAGGGATCCGAACAATTGGGTTCGACCCTACCAATCTTCGGAAAAAGGTTACGAACATGATTGTGGAAAGCGAATTTGATGCTTACAACTCATTGTTTCCCGGAGCCAGCCAGCAATCGTCAAAATTAGGCGACCGCACGACCGCGATTAGCAAGAATTTGATTTAACTGTGAATGCACAGCATACACTCTAACACAAGTTGCACCTATCAAACTCCACCTGTGGCTTCATTCATTCACAGCATTGTTGCACATATTTCCTGGGTTTTGTACCGTCGTCCTGTTACAGACACCTTGACTACAAGCCTTATTAATCATTGGGCTATGTTCCATAAATCTTGCCAGATCCAACAGGAAGAAAGAAAACGGAAACGACTAATTTCTCCCTCGCTCATATTACCTGTATCTTATCATATGTCAAATTTTTGAGCAGCTACCGAATCTCTGCTCAACTTATGATAGATATAGTGTACATTTTTGCACCTACTTGAGAATGCCTCTGCGGCGTGTCTCAATAAAAATTTATTTTTATTTATGTATTTAAGGTTCAGTGACGTCGCGACGGAAAGAAGGGTGAGCAATGCATCAGAATATCGTATGGAAAATTTGTTGCTACGCAACCGCTAGCGATCGCACGAGAGTTACCACATTGTTAGGTTGCGTGTGAGGAAACAAGCTGGAACAGGCCGTCCGTGGATTACAAGCTAAACACCTGAGCCACTCCGTCACCGGTAGCAAAAGTTATCTTCAGAGAAGTGAAAGAATATATCGCGCAGTGGAACAACGGTGATGCTTCGGTACAAAACTGGCAGTCGAGTACAAAAATGAAAAGAGACAAGGAGTTTTCCTGCGCACCACCTACCCGTAACTTTGAAAACCGAAACGAAGAAAGGGCAAAAAGTGCTGCAATTAAACAATGATTGCGAGAGCCAGATAGGGAGTAGTGACAGGACTAGGCAAAACACAATAATCCATTTTGAAGAGGCATTGGTTTTGGTTAACTTAGGGATCTTTAAACCATGGCTCGTTGAAAAGCTTAAAGGTAATGAGTCTAAATATCCCACTCCAGTTAAAAAACGCATAAGTTTGCAGTGTGGGTGAATCTGAAAGTTAAGAATAAACATTATGAGGGAGTCAAAGTAAGACAACAAAG